TGGTCAAGTACGTGAAAATTCGAGAGACAAAGATGCGGAGCAATAAAGACTGTAGTCATAGCCATTGAAGTTGAATTCTTTTTCAGAAACTGGTCGGGATTGACCTTCAGATTGGGCACAAACTCACATCAGACAATATCACATCGTCATAGTGACTTGATGTGAATATGGCGTGGTGGCAAGAGGCGGCGCTGTCTCAGGCGGGATCAGCAGATCTATTCCCGCTCAGGCAACTAGTCCTTTCGCCAATCATTGGTTCGATCGCTTTCGGTATCCATGCCATGGGAAAATATAAACAGTGGCGTACACAACGAATTTCCCCGAATAACTAGCAACACAGTTAGAAAATTTCCCAGTTCTCCTTGGAGCTCCTTAGCAGGGAAACTCTAAAAATCGATCTTCACTGAATAACAGACTAGGTGGCTTGTTTTAGTCTTGTTTTTTCGAAAACAGAATAGAATAGGGCATTTGAGGAGTCAAAACTCGCAACCAACGAACAACACAGGTCGCCATTTGGGTTAGAACACCTCCAAGAGGAAAACAGGGAAACGAAAATGCGCAGAGAATAGCAAAAAAAGCAGCGATGAACATCGCTGTCGCCCAACTGGAACCTATCGTTGAGATAGCACAGCGGACAAGTGCGGCTGCCTCAGGTTCACATGGTTCGTGGGATCAAGCAACTTCCTACTAAAGAATCTACGTAACAACCCGAATAGATAGATGCATCCTATTCCCATTTTGTGCCCATACGCGGTGAACTCGAACTTGGAGTCACACTCGATGTCATGGGACCCATTCCTCATACACTTTCATGCTTGATGGTATGAATATCTCCGGATTCTACAGCAACATTGGTCGAGAAGTCAACATGGTGAACGATCCAGCTTCAAAGCTGAGCAAAAGGGAACACGAAACGTGGGGAACATTCACGAGCTACAAAGTCACAGGGTCAAAAGGAGAATCCTGAACTTCGAGCTTCACCAGGGAAAGAGGGTTGGTGCCGCAGATGTCATGGAGTCGAGTTGAATGGGCCCGACATGCCAAACGATTTTGTGATGGACTAACCAGGGAAGAATCTCAAGTCGAATGGGGTGAAGGTGGTTTGCAGGGTGCAGCAAAAGTACTAGTACACCTAAACACTTTAAATTTTTAATTTTTTTCTCGGGAGGTGTCTCGCTTTACTCGTTTTAGATATTTTGACAGAACATTGGGGAACTTATACGTACTTAAGCACAAAATGGTTAGGCATTTCACCTACGAGGGCCTGTTGTTGAACATCTCAAGGCCGGCAAGCACACGACAGATATTGTGAAGCTTTTTCTTTTCCTTTTCCTCTTCTCAGGAGCTCTTTAGCCTGTTGAGACTACAGTAGACGCTGTCAAGCACTGTGAAGCAAACTCAGAGGTGAAATCAGCGTAGAAAGGAAAATGGCGAGGAAGAACCTGAAGATAAAGCTCACGATCGAATTAATTCTGCAGGCTGTGCACATTGAAAGAACTACAGTCCTGCGGAATCGATATATGGGTTTGTCACGGTGAAATGCCATCTGAAAATGGCATGAGATAACTTCAGTACTACCTTCGCCTAACTCAAAACTGGTAAGAGGAGTTAGCGACTTTCAGCCTTTACCGCTTCTCCGCAGACGCACATGCTTCGATTTCTCAGGAACCAATATTTCTAGGCATTGAAATGTCTACAGAAACTACTGATCGTGAAAAGTCCCCCTCAGACTTTTTGGCGACATTGTACAGCTGTCATACGCCTATGTATAAAAGAGCAACGACCGAAATACCTACTGAGTAAGAAGATGAGGCAGGTGCTAACAAAATCAACAAATTAAAATTTGCTTCATTATTCAAGAGTTGAGGAAAATTTGTTTTGGGACTGCTGTTGATTGATGCAAATTTTACGAAAGGTAAACAAATGGCTGATAACATAGAAATTGAGTTTTTTTTGGAATTGCCTTCTTACCAAACCTGTCTAGCAAAAACTATGGTATCACGAACTGTTCCTGACAAATGACTGCTATAAGCAAATAAAAAATAAGGGACCCTTACAAACGTTCTCAGATTTACGTGGAACTCAAATGCGCGGCGTAACTAAAACCTGTCGTCCATTTTTCTTTATTAGTGGGGAGATTCGCAGAGTCAAATCCTACATTGCCAGTCCACAGATTCGATCGAAAGCCCTTGAGATCTTTTCAAATACAATTGAAAAGGTTTTGAAGGACAGATAAGAAATACAGTGAGCGATAAATGTTAATGCCGTATAAATCCCTTGGCATACGTTTTCAAAGGGCTTATGGACCGAAGTTCTTCACGATGAGGACTTCTTTCATTTCGACGGAGAGGGTGTAAAGGTCGAGCCAGAGTTCTGTCGGCAATTGATGAAAGGCTCCACAGCTGTTCGGATCGGGACCGGGCGATGTTGCGCAACTCTTCATCAACAAGATACTTACTGCATAGTGGGGTAGATAAGTTTGTTCAAGGGATCATAATAGACGTCTCGTCATAATAGACGTCTGTGGAGCCGTTGTAAGAGAGGTTGTAAGAGACCAGGGAACAGAGAACATCTGGGAACATATGAGATTTTAAAAAAGTTAGCATTTATGTTTAGCTAACAGCAAGTGGGAGAAGTATAACTATGGCCCCTAGTTCAGAAGAACAGCTCTCGATAGAAGTGGTTTAACGATCCGATTGGCAGGAATCTATGACCCCTGAAAAGGTAAAAAGGGACATTGTCGGGTCAAAAACGGCTGCAACAAGGGGCGAAAATCAGTTTGAAAGACTACTACCCTTCAGCATCCATAAAGAAGCGTGTTCAAGAGCTTTTTATAGAGCACATCTGTAGATGAGAGGGTACCAATGCAAACTGAATTAAATAGTCTGACACAAATTAACCGAGGTAGTAAAGGTGCANTTTTTTTTGCTTCCTTATCGTAGAAGACAGGTCCAATTCTACGCATTCTACGCACACGTCGGCTCATTACCTCTCAGATAAGTTGGGAACAAGAGTTTCCATCCCCTGACGCATTTCCGAGCAGCTCTTGCACGTATCGAATAGAGCCCTCCAGAAACGCTCTCAACTGCGAGAGCATCCTATGACCGGATGATCCCTTGCTCGAGATTAATCAGCAAATGGAGCCCAGTCGATGCAGCGCTCAGGTGCGCTCTCGTCTTTCAGTTGTGGGGATTGGTACCGACCACGATTTTGCAGCCTTCGCCAGAAATACCCAAGTGCAGGAGACGGTGAAGTATTTTTGTGCACAGTTGCAGAGATCTTCCAGAGCGCATTCTTACCAGTCCGATATATCAATGAACGCGCAAAGAGTCACAGAAGACGAAATCCTCAGTGTTACCATAGAAGGTGCGCCACGCACTCAACCTCAACTTATACCTTGGAAGGATTTCCTGGAGACCGTGCGATCAAATTGCACCAAGCAATCCTCACAGTCGCTCCAGTGAAACGATTTCTGATTTCTGCACTGACCCAGGAAAGAAGAGTGCAAACCACCAAATTTATATAGCTTACACATACCCCAGAAGATAAAGCTTCACGGGCACAATGAGACTTTGCTAATAATCATCTCCGTTTATAACGCAGTATTGAAAGCTGGAGAGATCCGCAGCAATTCCCAATTGGGTCAGATAAGATGGGATTTTTTGTGGGNTTTACACAAGATCCCGGGAGCCTCGAAAACTAAAGTGAATGTCAAGAATGATGGTTATCTTGGACAAATTGGGAATCATTTTAAAACTCAGTGCTCGCCCTCGAACGACGTCCCTGTTTCGATTCCTGCCGATGATTCCATTGGCCTCTACTCATCAGAGAAACCCTAACAATCTCAGAGGGAAGGCGTGGCGATACTTGTTCGGCTTCATCCATGTGAAGCGACTAATCTGCATCGATCTCCGCTAATCTTCGTGTTTTTCATTCCAGGTGTCAGTTTGTTGCCTTATCTTACGACTGAGTCTTCCTCTTCCAGATGAGTGCCGTTTCCAGTCATACTTCGAATGTCCAGCCACCTTCTGTCTAGCCCTCTACATGTCGTTGTTAGTTTTTACATCACTTCCAATACTTTGGAATTTTTTACGAATTGGCTCTGTTTTAGCAACTCTTCAGAACTGAACTCACTCTCGACTTCGTCAGCTCTCGAGGCAGCGAAGCGCGAACGTCGCCATTCACGCAAACTTCGAACACTCCTCAAAAAGGTCCATGTATTCAAGCATAACCATCTCATCTATAAGACATGCTTTGGCGCGATTCATGTGAAGGTAAGATCGATCCATCCCAGCTTGGACAAGCATTCGACCTTTTTGGATAAAAACAAACATGGATGCTCTTTCGACTGGAAAATGAGGATGTCTGCTAGAGCAAAATAAAGTCTCATCGAACAAACGAAGATATGAGTCACATCATTTCAATTTTTCGCTCGAGATTTCCAATTCCCAATCTCCGCCACATCATTCTCGAANACAGCTCGCAGTCAGGCTGAACGGTAGCCCAACAAATCTCACCACATGCGAACATAAAACTTGAGAATTCGTGGCTATGATATGGCATGCACTCCATCATAAGATGATCCATAGCCCAAGC